TATATATATATATATATACACACATACATACACACACACACACATATACACACATACATACATACATACACACACATACAGTTAAAAACAGCATTATTTTCTTCCTTTTTTTCAAATCATGTGTAACAGAGCAAGGAAATTTTCACAGTATGTCTGATAACATTTTTTTCTTCTGAAGAAATTCTTATTTGTTTTATTTAGGCAAGAGTAAAAGCAGTTTTTAATTATTTTTAAACACCATTTTAAGGACAAAATTATTAGCCCCTTTAAGCTAATTTTTTTCTCAATAATCTATAGAACAAACCATTGTTATACAATAACTCGCCTAATTATCCTAACCTGCCTAGTTAACCTAATTAAGCCTTTGAATGTCACTTTAAGCTGTATAGAAGTGTCTTGAAAAATATCTAGTAAGATATTATTTACTGTCATCATGACGAAGATAAAATAAATCAGTTCTGTATTCAAATACAGAAGTTGAACAATCAAAGGTAAAACAACATGGTCATCATTGTATACTTAATTAAAAAAATAACTATATTTATTAACATTTTCATCTTTACTCTTTAATAAATCAAATAATCCTGCAATGTAATCGATGCTTAAACAATGTATTGTTCAGCCCTACTTTGTTGCCATGGTATTGCGGAGAAGATGAGCAACCTTCATGAACCAAGAACAACTGAATTGTAACTAGTCATCTAATCTGGCTTCATGGTATGGACCACAGAGTCATGGGTTTAAATCACAATAAATTTATGAATGAATTTACATTGTGGATAAAAGCTTTGACTCTATGGACTGGGTTTCTACAATATCGAATTTAACCAGTTGAGGTAAATTTATAGGTATTGTTTGAGGTATTGCTTATTGTTGAGGTATTGTTTGCAAATTCTAAATGAGGAAATCATATTAGCAGGCAATGACTATCAAAGTAGAACACTGTTCACAGTCAGGTAAATAGTGCTAATGTTGTTTTGAAGTCATGCTTGCATGCGATTTTAGACCGAATATTTAAAGTAGCATGTCAGAAATAGTCTTTGTTCAAAACTGAACTAAAGTGCAAATATAAAACCAACTTGGACATTGTCTATGTGCCAGTTTCTCAAATGTTTATCAATCATACTAAGTAAAACTGCATACTAGTTTCCTGTAAGGGGAAGGGTTTGTATAGGGCCAAAGTAAATACATATGGACAGTATAAAAACCATTGAAACCAATAAAATGTCCCCATGATTCAGAATAACAGACGTTACATTCACACGTTTGTTCAGCTCCCTATATTGTTTACTATGGTACTTTGAATATTCGGTTTAAAACCACATGCAAGACTTCAAAACAACATTAGCACTATTTCACTATTGAACAATGTTGTACTTGAGACATTGCCTGCTAACAGGACATCACTAATTATATTTCGCAAAGAATACTCTTATAAAATTATATTATTAAGGAGAAATTCTGAATGTGTAAATAAAAAAACTCAATTGTATTCATTTCAACTTCATCTCATGCTGAGGTGGCCAGTGTTTACATACCGTTGTGAGGGCTAGCATGTGTTAGCCCGCTAGCCAGGCTGCCTCTTCAAGGAAACAATTAGGCAGATCAGCTTTGTGTTTGAATCCACAGTAAAGCACCAGCAGCTCACTGAGATTATCAGTATTACAGACCGAGACACTGGATCATGGAAACCAACAGGAGACTTCATAGTTATGTAAATCAAGGCAAAGCTGCTCAAAATAAAAGAGGGCATTCTTTGCACTATTTGGTTTCAGGATGTTTTTGGTTTTACAAAGAGTGAAGGAAACATTCATATAGAGAGGCACTGACAGTGGGATAAATAGAGACGGAGATAAACGATTGGTTTTGTATTCGCACATTCATGAACAGTGACAATTTCTGACATCCTACTTTAAATATCCGGTCTGAAACATTAGCACGATTTGATTAACTGAACGATCAATGTTGTACTTTGATAGTCATTGGCTGCTTATATGCTTTCCTTATTTAGAATTTGTAAAAAGTACTTATCTGAAAATATATTAAGTCTGAATGTGCAAATAAAAAAACAATATTGAGGTAAAGTTGGTTTTATATTTGCACATTCATTCAGTGATAACTTGTGACACGCTCCCTATAATGTTTTACCATGGTACGGTCTAAAGTCGCATGTAAATATGACTTGAAAAACAACATTAGCACTATTTAACGGACTGTAAACAATCAATGTTGTACTTTAATAGTCATTGGCTGCTTATATGCTTTCCCCATTTTGAATTGACAAACAATACTTCTATGAAATGACCATAGGAAGTCAATCTAAAACCAAATTTACCTCAATCTATTCAAAGTACTGAGGTAAAGTTGGTTTTATATTTGCACATTTTTTCAGTGACAGCTTGCGACATTATATCGTTTACCATGGTACTTTGAATATTCAGTCTGAAATCACATGCAAGTATAACTTCAAAACATTAGCACTATTTAATTGACTGTAAACAATTAATGCTGTAATTTGATAGTCATTGGCCACTAATATGATTTCTCCATTTTGAATTTACAACATATTCAGTTTGAATATAAAACCAAATGTACCTCTATCCCATATGTAACCTCCTCATTGAGGTAGTTATATTTGAACATTTTAACGTTCACCTTCTTAATATAATTTCAGTATTGTTTGTAAGTTCTAAATAGGGAAATATTATTTGCAGCCAATGACTAAATACACGACTGTTCACAGTCAACTAAATAATACTAATGTTGTTTTGAAGCCATGCTTACATGAGATTTCAGGCCAAACGTTCATTAAAAATAAACGAATGTGCGAATATAAAACCAACTTTACCTCATTTACCTTCTCCTGTAATGCTCGTGTGTAATAGCCATGTCATTATACACATTTGTGTGCTGATGTCACAAAAACAAGCGCTCTCTCACACACACACACGCGCGCACACACACGTAAACAAACACGACGTGTGCATATATAATGAAGAAAAAACGCTTTGTCAGACATTTACAGAAACCACACGACTGTACCTCAGAAATTCATCAGTTTAATACAGGGAAGCGATGTAAATGCTCATCTTTTGTGCTCAGCGGCTATACCGAAATGTGTGTGTGCACATTAATGGCGTTATCGATCACTAATCAGCGGTTGTACGTTACCTCAAACTGCCAGTGCGCCGCCTGGAGAAGCTGCTTCGCCTGATCCGCCGCACATCCCGCGGTCAAAACAAACTGGTTAATCATCACTTGATGCCTTAATTCGTCCATATTCACCGACATCTCCGGTATTCGGTGCTCCCGTGAACGCAAAACCGCTTGTGTGTCCGTTAAAACAGGCCCTTCCCTTCACGCCCGCTCCTCGCTCTCTCCTTCCAGTAACAACAAATATTTTCGTGTCATCATCATCATCACCAACAACAAACCCGAGCGCGGCCTCTGATTGGCTGCAGGGGCAAAACAGAGAGTACACACTGATTTCTTATTGGTCCGTGGAGAAATTGCGAATCGGCTCAAGTGACGTAATTTAAAGCAACGCAGCACATGTGATTGGAGGACGAAGAGCAGCTTGAGCACTGTTATTGGTCGGAACTGAAAGAAGAGTGGCGGGTTGTCATTGGTCAGCTTAGTAATGTATGTTTACATTGATACATACGCTACTGTGTGTGTTTGTGTGTGTGAATGTGTGTATGTGTGTGATCCATCAGAGCTACGGGTTTTAATAATTCAGACGAATGAATATGAAACTGAATATGATTATATAATGGTACCATTTAAAGTGCACACACACACAAACACATTTATTTATTTTTTTGTAATAATAATTTGTAATAATTTATTTTCATTAAATTTATATTTCGTTTGTTTTAGGGTAATTTCTATTTGTTTATGTAAATAAATTTAGGATAATGGATTAATTTTAATCATATTTAATCATGCATTCATTTTCTTTTCAGCTTAGTCCCTTTATTTATCAGGGTCGCCACAGTGGAATGAACCGCCAGCCTATCCAGCATATGTTTTACACAGCGGATGCCCTTCCAGCCGCAACCTAACACTGGGGAACATCCATATACACTTGCACACACTCACATACACTGCGGCCAATTTAGCTTATTTAATTCCCCTATAGTGCATGTGTTTGGACTGTGGGGGAAACAGGAGCACCTGGAGGAAACCCACCCCAACACGGGGAGAGCATGCAAACTCCACACAGAAACGCCAACTGACCCAGCCGGGACTCGAACCAGCGACCTTCTTGCTGTGAGGCGACACTGCTAATCACTAAGCCACCGTGACATATTTAATAATTTTTGTATTAAAATTAAAATTAAAATTGTCTTGAAACTACTATACTATTTTAATCCATTGTTTTTATATTAATGTTTAAATTAATATTTCTCATTTATCTTAAAAATGTGTATACATTTATTGAGGACAATGTCAAAAGTCATTTTTACAGTGTAAATTCACGCTTTTTGCTGTGAGACTTATTACTGAGAAAAAAGTATATGCTTTTATCTTTTGTTTTTTGCCAATTATGATTAATTTTGCTAGTTATTAGTGTTTTATTTTTTATTTTCATATTTATTATTACTAGTTTTAACCTAATTTGCATTTGTGTTTTATTATATATATATATATACACTTACCAGCCACTATATTAGGTACACCTGTCTAACTGCTCGTTAACGCAAATTTCTCATCGGCCAATCACATGGCAGCAGCTCAATGCATTAAGGCATGTAGACATGGTCAAGACGATCTGCTGCAGTTCAAACTGAGCATCAGAATGGGGGAAAAGGGGGATTTAAGTGACTTTGAACGTGGTATGGTTGTTGGTGCCAGACGGGCTGCTCTGAGTATTTCAGAAACTGCTGATCTACTGGGTTTTCACGCACAACCATCTCTAGGGTTTACAGAGAATGGTCTGACAAAGAGGAAATATCCAGTGAGCGGCAGTTCTGTGGGCACAAATGTGTTCTTGATGC